ACTTTTTTTTTGTGAAATCTAGATAAAATATATGACATGAGGGGGAGGAAAGGCTTTAAAGGAAGGAAGAACAGGGAATAAGAGCAGGTAATGTGGGAGAAAAGTCAAATACTACGTTTTCTCCCATATGTGGACTCTAGTTTTAAATACACATGTATGATGTGAAAGCAGAAAGAGGGACTATTTAGGGGGAGAAGGAGTGAGGAGGGGGTCAGAGAGGATGATGGGAAGAAAATATGACAAAGGCACAGTATATACAAGTATGAAAATGTCATAGTGAAACCCATTATTTTGTACAATTAATACATGATAGCAAAAAAAAAAGAAAGAAAAAGATCACATGCTAGCAAGTAAATGATACTAATAGCTCAGGGATATTTGTCCATTTTTAAAAAAGCAGTTATTGGGGATAGAGAGATTATCTCAGGGGATTAAGACCACTTGCTGCTCGTGCAGGGGACCTGAGTTCAATTTCCAGCACCCACATGGTAGTTCCATTGCCCTCTTCTGGCCTCTTTGGGCACTACACACATACAAGTACACATACATAAAGCACACAGACACACACAATAAAAATTAATAGATCTTAAAAAAAACAATGATCATTTTTTTAATTTTAGGGTTTTCATTTGAAACAGAGTCTCACTGTGTAGGCCTGACTGGTCTGGAACTATGTATACCAGACTGGCCTGGAGCTCGCCAGAGAGCTACCTCCCTGTCTCCCAAGTGCTGGAATTAAAGTCCTGCACCACCACACCTGACCTTGGGTTTCATTTATTAATTCTTAATCTCTTCACCCTTCATTTCATTTCCATCCTCCAATCCCTGTATTTTAGCATTTACCAAGTCTGGTAGGGCCATCATTTCTTTTTTAAAAAATTAATTAGTAACATATACTACTTGTACAAAATAATGGGTTTTATCATGGTATTTTCTTACATACATATAACAAATATACTTTGATCATATTCATGGGGCCATTATTCCTTCCTCCATTCATTGTGCTGACATTGGGGGAAGGCATTACCAGTGATTTTTTTACTCTGTGCTCCAAAAGCCATGTCCCATTAAAGCTGCTAAAAAGAATCTTGATCTACCTATGGGGTAAGGGAGGGGGGCTACTAAAAAGTTCGGTGTACTTGGGAGGTAGGAGATAGGGCCAGGAGAGCCCATAAAATACTCTGGATAATTTCTAAAAGTTCTCTGGCTATACTAAGTTGCTCAAACATTGTCCTCAGGCTCACATGTAGCTCTGTCATTGTCACAGCAAGTCTAGGAAAAGTGCCTTCAACCTGAGGATGGGACATGTATTCATAGAGGAATTATTCTCCAAAGGCATTAGAAATAAAGCATTAAATAATTGTGAATATAGAAGGTTAAAGAGGACAAAGCTTTGAGAATTTTTGGTCTATTTATTCTAACACAACACTCACCATTTCCAAAACACTTTATTTTTGTGGTGCTGGAGACTGAACTGGGGGTCTTGTGGTATGGTATGCAAGCCCTCTACCATTGAGCTACACCTCCAGCTCTCTTTTTACATTTTATTTTGAGATGGGGTCTAAATGACCAGGCTGGCTTTGAACTCACTCTGTAAGCCAGGCAAACCTTGAACTTGTGATTCTCCCACATTGGCCTCCCCAGTAGGTGGGCTTACAAGCATACACCACCAGGCTAAGCTCTAAAACCTGCTTCTTTCTTGTGAAGGTACCTGTTCCGGTCAAACAACAAGCATTTGTTTTTGTCTGAGGAAAAGATTGGATTTATAATGCTATCTCAAACTCTTTTTTTTGTGGTGCTGTGGATGGAACCCAGATCCTAACGCATGACAGGAAAGTGCTCCAACAGTAAGCTGTGTTCCCAGGTCTTTGTGTTCCAATTAATAAAAATTTCATGACATTTTCAAAAGATAAACGGCAACCTTGTATTTTTTTAAAAAAGTGAAAAAGATTATTTTTTGATTCTGCAGAAATAGATAACCTGGAGAAAAGACAAAAGTAGCTAGCATGCTGATTTGGCATGAGACAGTGGTTTTTTTTTTAATGCTTTTTGTTGAATTTTTGTGAATTTTATACAATATATTTTGATCATATTAAGACCTCCTCCCCTCTCTGTGCTCCTCTTATAGCCCCCTGCCAGATTTTACGTACTCTGTCATATATTTTCAGGCCTATCAACTCAAGTTTGTGTCCCCAAATGTCCTTCAGTGTGCTTCCAACCACTGGAGCCTAGTTAACCTATCTAACATCACATCTTTAAATAAAACCAACTCTCCCTCTTCCAATAATTATCAGTTGTCAATAGTTCCTTGGCTAAGGCTGGGGCTCCTTATCTACTTCCCCACTTCTATGTCAGGATTTTGTCTGGCTTGAGATTGCTTGGGTCTTGTGCATGCTTTTACTATTCCTTTAATTTCTTATGAGAAACTTCCCAGCTGTCTGGAAAACTCTGTTTTCTTGTGCTCATCAACTACCTCTGACTGTTTACAATCTTTTCACTCCCTCTTCTACAATGGTCTCTGGCAGAAGTTTGATATAGGAATTCTATTGAGGGCTAAGCACTCTGTAGTCTTTTATTCTCTGCACTTTGACGAGCTGTGGCTTTCTGGGTTAATCACCAGCTGCTGCATGAGGAAGATTCGTTGGTGAGAGTTGAGAGATGCAATAATAGTCTGACTCCTATTCTACAATGTTTCCTGAGCCTTAGGTGTAGAGGTTGCATTGTAGGTGTGTCCCTTAGGGCAGGGCACCTCACAGACACTTATTCTCTGCATTTGACCAATTGTGGAACTTTGTGGGCAACCTTATATGGGATGAGATTTTGACTAATTGGGAAGCCTTGTTTCTTTATATTTTATTTATTTGAGTTATTATTTTTTGAGACAGGGTCTCATTCTTTAGCCCAGGCAGACCTGGAACTTTGTTTAGCTCAGGCTAACCTTTGAACTCCTAATCCTCTTGCCTCAGCCACGCAAGTGCTAGGAATACAGGCATGAGTCACTGTGAGCGGCTAAGCACAATGCTTTTTTGTCTCTTCTTCTATAACTTAGAATTATGCAGAACATTAAAGTTATGCAACTTAAGAGTTAAAGGGAAGGGACACGGTTCATAAGGATTGGTGGGGCAACTTCCAAGGGCTCAATATAGTCATATGTTCTCTGAATACTGCTATACTCAGGACACAGCTGTAGCCAAGTCTTACTGTGGTAGAACAATCAAATGACATTTTGCTAAAGTAAATGGCTAATGCTGTGATGTACACTAGTCCTGTGTTCAAGTCACTTGCTCATGACTTAGTTTTGTGCATGATAGAAAGCATTCACAAGTGTTCTCACTTTCAGGAATTAATCACATTAAAGGAAAAAATAGTGGATGTAGATCAGGGTTGTTAATATTTAGGTTGAAGTCTGGGGGCAGGGCTAGAGTGAGGAGTCACCAGTCTCATTTGAGAATTAACTACATCTATGAACTTCCTCAGAAAAATTCCCATCAATGTTTCATGTAATTTCTGAGAATTCAGAAATTCTGATCCTCTCCATCCCCCAAATCCTTGCCTAAGCTCATTTATAAACAGGCCTCCAGATTTAAGATCTTCTGGACTATATGATTTTGAAGCTATATTTTAGTGTTTCTCAAAGTGTGGTCCTTGGACCAGAACATCAGAATTACCTGGGGTATTTGTTTAAGAAAGTAATAAGCCAGGCCTGATGGTGAAGGTCTGCAATCCTAGCTGCTCGGGTGGTTGAGACATGGGGATCACAAGTTCAAGTCCTGCTTGAGCTACAGAGTGAGTTCAAGATCAGACTAGACAACTTAGTGAGACCCTGTTTTTTTTTTTTTTTTTTTAAAAAAAACACAAAAGAGCTTTAGTCTCAGCACTTGGGAGGCAGAGGCAGGTGGATCTCTGTGAGACCAGGACTGGTCTACTCAGCAAGCTCCAGGCCAGCTGGGGCTGCAGGGAGACCCTTTCATAAATAAATAAATAAGTAAATAGAAAGAAAGAAAGAAAGAAAGAAAGAAGAGCAACACAACAACAACAATAAAAACCACACTTGCAAGTATGCCCTGGGTTCAACCTCTAGTACTGCCACAAAGAAAAAAATTAAAAAGATTTGTAGGACAGACACAGGCTCTTATTTCAGAATCTCTGAGGCACACCATACAAGAACCTGTGTTTAAAAAACCCCTGAGATGAATTTTTCGGTGTTCTGGAAACTAACATTTGAGGATCAGTGCTTGATCCAAATTCTAGAGTTTTCTGTTTGAATGCTTTCATCTTCTGGGTTTGGGTTGTGCCTGTTTACTGTTCACTTGGCAACTGTACAAAATACTATGCTTAGTATGGACTCATTAGAGAATATTTGCATGTATATGCATAGGAAAAATATCTGGAAGTACAATTTTTTGTATAATGTTAACAGCGTCACTCTCTGGGTAGGAATGGGGATGATCTTTATTTCCATTTATTCTCGCTTTATTTTTCTCATTTTTTTTTCTTCCTCTATTTAAAACGATGCTATCTCTTTATGGGTTTAGTTTCCCCACGTGGGAAATAGGGTGTTGAAACTTGATGAACTTCGAGAGCCCTGTCTTCCTTGGTTGTCAGCGACCCCTTTTTATCCCCTAGTTTTCTGGTTCACCTGAGCATAAACCGCATAGGTAGCCTGTACGTTTGGAGACTAATCATGATTATTTTTCCATGTGTTACTTTGGGATATCCAGCAACTGTTTTGAAGCCAAAAAAAAAAAAATTTATCCTGCTTGGTCTCTAGGACCCAGAACAGAATCATCTACTATCTACAGCCCTCAAAAGTTCCTCCTCTCCCCTTAGCTTTAGAAAAATGCCCTCCATGCACACGTCTTAGGCTTGTTAGAAAGACTGTGAACCAAAAAGCCAGGGCGTGGCTGCCCCGCCCATTGGCCGCGACATCGCCGCCCTCTCGCCGCTGTCAAGCGTGGCGATTGGCTGAATGAAAGAAAGAGCCCCGCCCCTGGTCTTATGACTCCAGCCAGGAGCGGCGATTCCTGGCTCTTGCAACGCTTTGGTCGGTGGTCATCTTCGTTCTCCTCCCGGGTCCGGCGGGGCTGTTCGTTGACATTGCCGCTCCGGCTGCCGCCGCTTCCTGCCCTGAGGGATCATGATGCGCTTCCACCTTTCCGCAGTTGTTGGCTCAGGGCTCGCCCTGCTCTTTCTCGTCCTGGGTGAGTTGTTGGGCCCTCCTGCACCATCTCTTGGTTTGGGCCCGAGGCACTGGTTCAAAGGCCACAACCTGAAAGACTGGTCAGTGAGGAGGCGTCGAGAGACTGAGCAGCTGGCACTAGGCGGCGGCAGTGGCCCCTGGGGACGCGAGCAGTGACCTAGAGAAGGCCTGGCCGAGGGATGGCGGGGAAGAAGGGCTCTTGAGAGTAACAAGGGGGCAAGTAACCGGGTGGGAAGGACCCCCAAGGGAGTAGACAGGAAGAGAGAAGAGTGGGAGACCACGGGGTAGAGAGATCAACTTGGGTGAGAGTCTGGGTGGACAGAGATCCGGAGTCTTGGTTTCCTGGATCAGGAAAGAGTTTTGAAGATGGTGGAAAAACTGCTGGGTGAGAAAGGAAATTGGAACGGAAAACACTGTACCTGTATGAAATCGCAGGGGGACGGCAGATAAGACAGGAGGGCCTGAAGGGCAAAAGCAGGGTTGGGGGCTTTGTAGGTAGGAATTTGAGGCTTGGAAAAAGGGTGATTGGAGAGATGAGAAATGGTGCGGGATTTGAGTTTGCTAAAAGAGTTTTGCTGGAGTAATTTTCAGAAAGGAAAACCTGGATTCAACCCCTGGACTGAAAGAATGAGTGAAAACTTTGGTGGAAAGTGAATATCTGAGTTGTCCAGGATCTCAATTTTTTTTGGGGGGGGTCTTTCTGACACAGGGTCTTCCTGTAGCCCCAGGTGTCTTGGAACTCACTATGTACATCAGGCTGGCCTTGAACTCAGAGATCGCCTTCCTCTGCCGAGTGCTGTGATTAAAGGCGTACGCCACCACACCAGGCCCTCAATTTTTTTAACCCTATCACTTTTGCCACTTTCTCCCAGCCAGACTTCGACAGGAAAAAAACAAAAACAAAAACAAAAAAAAACAGTTGAGGGAGTGTCCCAGATAGGAGTTTTTGGTAGTTGTGTTTGTGAGTCTTGTCTTTAGAGACTCTTGCTTTCTTCTTTCCCATCACAGTTGGCTTATTCCTGGTTTACAGGAAGTGGCAGGGTAATAGCCTAAGGGTTAGGTTGTTTTTAGGTGATAAGAGTAGATGGGTTAATGTTGGTTGGTTGTGCTTTGCTGCAATAAATAGACTGGGAGTCCTTTAGAGCCTCAACCTGAACTTTGATCAGAATGTGTCCTCCTGACCTGATTTACTCTGTGCTTGTTGTTACCTGCTGGCTCTTGCTAGTTGTACTTTAATAAAAGAACAGAAGAAACAGACCCGGATGGGAATGGGGTGGAAATAGGTCTATTTGGGAGGGCGGAGGTTGATGTTTGTAATCCATGTTTCAGTAAAGTAGAATCAGCACCCTGGAACAGTGGATTTTTAACCAGTGGATATTTGGCAGGATCTGGAGGCATTTTCGGTTGTCCCACTAGGTGATTGCTTTTAGGGCCTCCAGAACATAGAGGCCAGGGATGCTGTTGAACTTCCTGTAAGCACAGGATAGCTTAAAGATTCTAAGCTTCAACATACCAGCATTTGAAGGATTTGTAATGAACTAATTAATCTAATAACTCTCAAGGGCTTTGTGCCTGCGAAATCAAAACGTTCATCAACAACGCTAAGATCTTCCTCCTTTTCGCTATCATGCCTTTTACTTGTGTGAAGTAGAATTTTCCAGAGGCTACATAATGAGTGATGACATCACCATCCTGATGACTCTAATGTTCTTGCGTTTTATTCATTTCTCACCTTTTGTTTTTAATACAGCAAATGCCAATAGATATAATTTACATAAAACAAATGCTGTGAGGTCTTCCATGGATAGGGCATTAAAGAGGTTCTGACTTGCAGATCCTTGATCTAGTTTAGATGACCACACTGTGGAAAGAACTCCCCCAAACTACTTCTGAAATTGGGCCTTGAGAATTGACATTGAACACTTAATAATTCTAAGCCCTACCGGCACAGTGAAGCACTTACTGAGGGCTGGCTGACCCTAAGAGAGTCTTGTTTACAGTGAAAAGCACCTTATCAGCAACAAGAATATATCTGACAAAGGCATCTATTAAACAGTAATTCCCTGCCAATTGAATATGTACACAAACACCACACTGTTATTGTTTAGAGAAAGTGAGAAAAATAGTTGACCTACTTGTTGGCTTCTGTGTCATTTAGTTTTTTAAATGAAATATTTTTTTTTTTGTTTTTACAAAAGTTGTGCTTGCTCACTGCAGAAAGTAAACAGGAAAACTTACTACATAGAAGAACTGGACAGCTCAAACCTACTTTGCTGTTTATTGATCTGGAGTAACTAGATTTATCCCCTTGGATGATTCCCAAGACTGGGTCCCTCTACCTGCAAATTCAGAAAGGGATTTGCACCCTGAAACAGAACTACAGGACTAAGTTTTAACAGTGTAGGTAGGTCCGGTTTTTAACTCTAAGCTCTTTCTGATAGCTCTTGGTTTGGTGTGGAGCTCAGAGTCCTCCTATGTGCCTTTTACTCCTATGAACTTAGCAAGTTTTCAGTTGCTTTGTGGATTAAAAAAAAATATTTTATTTATTATTTTTGTTTTATGTGTATGAGTGTATTGCCTGTGTGTAGGTAAGTGCACCTGTGCTGTACAATGCCAACAGAGTCAGAAGAGGGCACAGGATCCCCCAGAACTGGAGTTACAATCAGTTGTTAGCTGCCATGTGGGTGCTGGGAATCGAACCTGAGTCCTCTGCAAGAGCAGTCAGTGCTCTTAACTGCTGAGCCATCTCTCCAGCCCCATAGATTTTGTACTTTACTTTTCCATGTCACAGTGGATACTGAGAATGCCAGGCATGGTGGATGCCTTTAATCCCAGCACAAATGAGGCAGAGACAGGTAGAGCTCTATGAGTTTGAGGCTAGCCTGGTTTACCTAGTGAGCCCCAGGTGAGCCAGGGCTACATTCTGGAGACCCTGCCTCAAAAACAAACAAACCAAAACCAAAAACCTAAAACAGCAGGACTGGAGAGATGGCTCAGTGGTTAAGAGCACTGGCTGCTCTTGAAGAGGACCCAGGTTCAGTTCCCAGTACCACATGGAGGCTAACAACCATCCATAACTCCAGTTCGGGGAAATCACTCTCTTCTGGCCTCTGTGGGCACAAAGCACACACGTGGCACACTTTCATACATGCAGGCAATACACTTATAAAATAAAACATTTTTATTATTTTTATTTTACGTGAGTGTTTTGTATGCATGTGTATAAGTGCACCTGTGTCGTGTAGTGCCCACGGAGGACAGAAGAGGGTGTTGGATTCCCTGGAACTGGAGTTAAAGGATGGTTGTTAGCTGCCATGTGGGTGCTGGGAATTAAACCTGGGTCCTCTGCAAGAGCAGCCAGTGCTCTTAACTGCTGAGCCATCTCTCCAGCTCTACCTTAAAATAATTTCTAAACTCAAATAAATAAATAAATCTTTAAAAACATAAAGTCCCCAAAAATGGACATCAGAAATAGGATTTTGGATTCAACTTTGGAAAGTCCTCTACTTTTGTAGCTGTTTCTGGGTGTTAGAGAAGGGGACCATCTAGCCTGAATTTAAACTCGTATTACCATTCGTGTTCTAGCAGTGCCAGTTTCACTTTGTAACTTCCTAACTGTAGCCCAGCTCTGTCAGTAGCCTCTAAAGCCTACTTTAAGGCTGGGCCTGTACCTCAGTGGTAGAGGGCTTACCCAGCCTGTGGTGAGGCCCTATGTTCAATCTCCAGCACTATAAAAAAGAAGGCAAAAAAGCTCTGCTTTGCAGTAAGTATAGAAAAAATTTGCTTATATTCATTTAAATGAATTATAACTAATTAGAAAATATTTTGGAAAAAAGCTATATGAGTTAAAAGCATAAAAAGAGCAATTGATGAAAGTCCTTTCCTAATATCATTGTGTTTCCGTCATGACATCATGTGTTTCAGAATTTTTCTATGGTTATTGATTTTTATAATTAGCTTAACTTCTTTTTTTGGTCTTTTTGAGACAGGGTCTCCCTGTAGCCCTAGCACTATGTCGACCAGGCTGTCCTTGAACTCACAGCGATCCGATCAGCCTGCCTCTGACTCCCAAGTGCTGGGATTAAAGGAGTGCACCACCATGCCCGGCATATGAGACTTGTTTTTTAAGCCTTGAGGCTCTTTTTCAAGGTAAATGCTTCTGATAAATATTTAGTCATTAGTCCCTGTTGGGAGCTACTCCCTCTCACAGATGCTTATTAAACACCTTACTTAGGTGAAAAGGAGACAACAGTGGACAAGACAGTGGAGGTTGTGCTTCCATAGAATTTACATTTTAGTGGGGGAAGGTAGCCCAACAGGTAAATAACAGAATTTCAGATAGTGATAAGCACTATAAAAAAATACAAAGCAGCTGGGCATGGTGGTGCACATCTTTAATCCCGCACTGGGAGAGTTCCAGGTCAGCTTGGTCTATATTGGGAATTCCAGGCCAGCCAGGTCTACATAATGAGTCTCTGTCTTCAAACAAACCCACAAAGCAGATAATGAGGAAGGAAAATGAATAGGTGCAGTAGATGGGTGGTGGAGGTGACCTGTGTTTATATTATATGATCAGGTGACTTTCCAGTGTTGAGTGACATTTGGTCAGAGACCTTGGGTGCTAGAAGGAGGCCCACTCTCTGACCATTTGTGGTGATAAGAACAAACTTAGTCTTGCCCTGTTTGTTCTTTGTATCCTCCTAGTTCTTTTTTAAAATGTATTTTTTTAAAGTATGTGCATATGTGTGTGTGTTGGGGAGGGGATTAATGCACATGTGAGTGCAGGTGCCTGAGGAAGCCAGAGGCATTGGATCTCCCAGGACCTGGAGTTATAGGTAGTTGTGAGCTGCCTGGCATGGTTGCTGGAAATTGAACTTGGGTTTTCTGGAAGAGCAATTTGTGCTCTTAACTGTTGAACCATCTCTCTACCCTTTATTCTCCAAATTCTAGTTAAATCTACCTTATGGAATTAGTCTCTGACTATAGAGCTGCTGGTATTTC